ATGCCAAAAAACTGAGTTCTTGATTTCAAGTAAAACACAAATACAAACCAATACAATAACAATTTCTGGTAATAAAAAAAATCTTCAGAATAAATTAAGAAATCTGAGATTCACATGCATGTGCAAACTGGGTTCTAGATTGAATAAGAGTTTGAACAACAGCACCAAAGTTTGAGCTCTAAGATTTTTTCATCAACATTTGTATAACTGATTGAAGCAAAAATTGAATGTTTTGTATCCCATATGGGATACTAAACATTCAATTTTTGATGCAAATGTAAATGAAAAAATATCAAACTTTAAGGCTGTTGTTTAAACTCTTATTCAATCTGGAATCCGGTTTGCTCACACAAGTTCTGTTTCCTATATATAGAAAAAATTGGCAGTCCCAATAAAATAGAGCTATGATGGAGCTATGTAAAAATAATTTTGCTTTAATAAAAAAGCTATATATAATTGGAAGGAAAGTGCTAAAAACGCTTTTAAATGATTTGAAACACAGTAAGAACTAACAGAAAATTTCAAAAAGTGTTCAACAAATTAAATTAAACTTGTTCCTTTGTCTTTTTAATAATAAATCAATTGCAGACATTATCTTTTCACAACTGAAGCACCTTTTATTTTAATATTCTTTTGTTAGTGATATTAAAACACCCCCTGCCTTGGGGCTCTTGGTTGAGTAAAGGCTAGAGATGGTGTCTCAATAAAAATACTCATCTTGGGCAGATGTTAAATGCATCCGGCTACTGTCTTGTAGAAGGCCTCCTAGGCAAAGAATTAAGGGGTAAACAGATTTTTTCTGTTGACCAGTCTCGCACCCCTTCTTCATCTATTAGGCTGGCGCAGATGTATTTTTAATACATTGTTTCCAGTCTAGGATGTTGAATGCTGGATCTTCTTGACTCAATGCGTGGGTATTGCTTGTGTCTCTATTTTTATGACTGGGCAACTCATTCTATTATCTCCTAATGAGGGTACAGCTCTAAAACTCAGTTTTATGGTTCTGAGGCCGGCTGGTAGTCAGGTTTCCCGAACTCTGTGGTAGCTCTCAGAGAGGCTGATTCCATCAACAGCCGAAAAATATCAGAGTACTAACAGTGCCATGTTGCGCATGGATGGTGTCCCTGTTCGTACTTTTGGTGTGCATTGCAGAGGCCACATTTGGAGTCCTTTGTTACAGCTTAGGGTTTATTAATAGTAATGAGGCTATTGCTTAGTTGTTAAACAGTGTACTGAGTACTATCTATACTTGAGTCAAGTTCTTTATAAATTTAAAATGACTAAAGTACCTAAAACTAATAAACACAAAAAACCATTGTCATCACCAAGTTCTCTAAACCTATCATTTACTAATATTCGTGGTCTTTGAAGTAACTTTTCTTCTGTTGAGTCTTATCTCTTGCAAAGTTCACCAGACCTACTTGCTCTTTGTGAGACTAATTTGAGTTTGGCTGTCCCATCTTGTGATCTTAGTGTTGATGGTTATCTTCCTTTAATTCGTAAAGACTCCAATAATCACATGCTTGGCCTGGGCATCTACATTCGTAAGAACTCACCCATTTGTCGTGAAACTAGGTTTGAATCTACAGACTATTCTTTTATGTGCTTTCGTTTAGCACCACTTCACTCTATTGTCTTCCTATTTGTTCTATATTGCTCTCCTTCATCCCAAGATTGCACTAATCGATATTAATTCTGATCAAATTGACCAAGCCTTCTCTCTTTATCCATCGGCCAATATCGTCGTTGTTGGTGACTTTAATGCCCATCACACCGATTGGCTTGGCTCTAGTGTCAGTGACTCTGCTGGCGTTAAGGCCCTCAACTTTTGCCTTTCTCAATCTCTAACTCAAATAGTCAACTTTCCAACTCGCTTTCCAGACAACCCTAATCATTTACCTTCTCTACTCGACTTATGTCTTGTTTCGGATCCTAGTCAGTGCTCAATTTCTCCACATTCACCCTTAGGTGCTTCTGATCGCGGTTTGATCTCTCTAAAACTATTATCAAATTCTTCTTCTTCATCAGAATCCCCCTATCATCGTACCACATACAACTACCTTAAAGCTGACTGGGACTCTTTCCGTGATTTTCTTCGTGATGGCCCTTGGGTAGAAATCTTTCGTCTTCCTGCTGACAAATGTGCTTCTTACATAACTTCGTGGATTCAGGCTGGAATGGAATCTTTTATTCCCTCTCGACGATTCCAGGTCAAGACTCACTCTTCTCCTTGGTTTTCCTCACATTGCGCTGCAGCAATTTCTAATCGAAACCGTTACTTCCATATCTATCAGCAAAACAATTCTCCAGAAAACAGACATCTGTTCACTATCGCCAGAAACCATTGTAAAAAGGTTTTGTCTGACGCCAAAGCTCGCTATTCTCAGGTCATAAAATCTCGTATCTCATCACAAAAATTAGGCTCTCGAGACTTCTGGAGAATCTTTAACAGTATCAATAATAAGGGCAAATTTGTTATTCCTTCTCTCTTGTATGGTTCAGACTTTGTCACCTCACCTAAAGACAAAGCTGAATTGTTTGCTAAGAACTTTTCATCAATATCATCTCTCGATTCCACTAGTTGCGTTCTACCTGACATAGCCGTCAAACAGGTTGACCCCTTGCTTGACATTCGCATCACTTCAGCTTCTGTATCAAAAGTAATTTCCTGCTTAGACTCTTCAACAGCTTGTGGTCCTGACAACATCCCTGTTGTTGTCTTGCAGAAGTGTTCTGCGGAGCTTTCATCCATACTTTCAAAACTATTTAACAAGTGCTTATCAGAGTCCTGTTTTCCATCATGCTGGAAAGCAGCATCTGTTATCCCTATTTTCAAAAATTCCGGAGAGCGATCTGATTCATCTAACTACCGTCCCATTAGTCTTCTTCCTGTCATAAGCAAGGTTTTTGAATCTTTAATCAACAAACACTTAATCTCTCATCTTGAATCAAATAACTTACTTTCTGATCATCAATATGGATTTCGATCTTCTCGTTCTACAGCTGATTTGCTAACAGTAATAACCGATAGGTTTTACCGTGCATTAGATAGAGGTGGAGAGGTTAAGGCTATCGCACTTGACATTTCTAATGCGTTTGATAAAGTTTGGCAATGTGGTCTTCTCCATAAGCTTTCTTCTTATGGTGTATCTGGTAACATCTTTAAGATTATTGAGTCCTTTCTTTCCAATCGTAGTATAAAAGTTGTCCTCGATGGTCAACACTCTTCTTTATATCCTGTAACTTCAGGGGTTCCTCAAGGTTCAATCCTTGGCCCTATACTCTTTTTAATTTACATTAACGATCTCCCAGATATTCTCACATCTAAGGTGGCATTATTCGCTGACGACACTACCATTTACTCTTGTCATGATAAGAAGCCCACACTCTCTGATTGCCTGGAGTGGGTATCTGAGCTTGAAAAGGATCTCACTTCTGCTACAGCATGGGGCTCACAGTGGCTGGTGAACTTTAATTCAGATAAAACTCAATTTTATTCGGCCAATCGTTATCGTAATAATTTAGATCTTCCTATATTTATGAATGGTAATGTACTAGATGAGTCATCTACCATTCATCTTCTAGGATTAACTCTTACTTCTGATCTTTCTTTTAAACCGTATATCAAATCCATTGCAAAATTAGCATCTGCTAAGGTTGCATCTCTTTATCGAGCTCGACACTTTCTTACTCCAGATTCTGTTCTCTATCTCTATAAATCTCAAATCCGTCCCTGTATGGAATACTGTTGCCACATCTGGGGCGGATCTTCTAATGATGCCCTTTCTCTTTTAGACAAGGTGCAAAAACGCATTGTAAACATAGTTGGACCTGCTCTGGCAGCCAATCTCCAACCTTTGTCACATCGTCGTGATGTTGCTTCTCTTTCTCTTTTCTACAAATACTATAATGGGCACTGCTCTAAAGAGCTAGCGTCTCTTGTGCCATCTACTAAAATTCATTCTCGTGTTACTCGTCATTCAATTAAGTCTCATCCTTTTTCTGTGACTGTTCCTAAGTGCTTCAAAAACTCTTATTCTTCTAGTTTTTTTCCTCGAACATCAGCTCTTTGGAATTCGCTTCCTTCATCTTGCTTCCCTGATTCATATAATTTGCAATCATTTAAGTCATCAGTCAATCGTTATCTTGCTCTACAGATTTAGTCTTTTCTCTTCCAGTTACTTCCAACTCTTATAGTGGTTGCTTGCAGCCTTGTTGGAAGTGAAGATGTTAAAAAAAAAAAAAAAAAAAAAAAAAAAAAGACCTATGCCGTTTTTAGATGTTAAATTTTCAAAACTTAATTTAAAATAAAAAGAAGGTAAAAATAGCACTTTCCAATAGAGTTCTGGAATGGAAAATAGCAAAAACGAATTTTTAAACAAATTCTGGAAGAAAAAATTCTGAAGTGAAAATCACCAGAAAGAACTTTTTTCTTTTTTTTTACCTTGTAAATTACTTTAGGTGTTAAATAAATGAAATAATAATAACAATTTATATTTTTTGTCAATAAATGTATTTTGAAAAAATACATTTAGTTAAGAGTGAAAACTATGCTTTTTAGGTGTTGCAAAGTTTACTCACAAATCTTACTTCTAAAAATTACTCTTTGCGGGATTTGATAAAATTGGATAAATCAACTGGTATCTCGCTTTTAAAACTAGCAATCTGGTTTGTTTAAAAATAGATTCTGTAGTGTAAATTATACTTTGTAGCATCTGCACCAGTTGGCATTTTTGACGGATTGCAAGTGTACTCTTTTGTATTAGATTTAATAAAAGTGTTCTCAAAGTGTTGAGAACACATTTTTCAAATCTTTTTTAAGGTCTTGAAAATGAAAAAAAAAAGCTCTCAAAACTAAAAATCTGCCAATTAAAATGCGTCAAACGCCAAAGAATACTCCTGAAAATATTGTGTAAGTTAAAAATCTTCTTCTTTAGATTGAGGAGAGGGGGAGCGGTGTCCCTCTTCCTAAAAGCACCCCTGGATATTATTAAATTTACATTTTGGTATATTATTGTATTTTAAATATCATTCAAACATATTAAAAACAAATACACTGTTTTATTAAATTTATATCAAGAGCAATTATATATTCTAAAAATGTTTTCTCAAGCTTTATTGTATTTAAGAATAAGTTTGCGTAACTTTACTTCTCTTTCTTTATTTATATCTTTTAAATTTTTAGAAAAGTAAAAAATCTCTTGTTGTAAATAGAAACTACTTAGATCTTTGATAAGTTTTCCGCGAGCCATTTTTAATGACGTAATGTGATTATTTGCAAGATCTAATAACATGGAATCCGATTCGTTATTAGTTTCATCGTTGAACTTATCCAAAAGTTCTAAAAGAGATGTTTTTGTAGCGGAATACGGGTGCTTTTCAACAATGTCTCTAAGTGAAAAAAATTTACTATGAGTTTGACTAAATAATTTTTCGATTGCTTTGAAAATCAGTAATTTAGTTACCATAGTGTCTGTCCTAGCGTCATGCAAATTTGCAGCAGATTCAATCTTAAAAACTGAATTTTGCGTTTGGTCATCACTTTTGTCGAATATTTTATTAACATCATTATGAGTTATGACAATACTCAAGTAATTTGAAAGTGACTGCAAACTTTGTCTATCGCAGCTAGGAAAAGCTTTGATAGTCAGTTTGTTTGTGTCGATTAAGGTTATATCTTTATTTGCTAACAAATTTGCCCAAACCTTTCCAGAACGTGTGAATTCTGCAAAAAGATAGTTCCAATCGGACCATACGTTATGCGCACATAAATATTTTGTTTCACCAATAAAATCATAAATTTCTTGAACATGGCTAGCAAAAGTATTTTTTTTGCTCAACATCTCAGGACTAATATGGTGAATTTGAAAAGCTTCCATCTGAGCTGCTTTTGACATACAAGGATTAATATACTTGTGGTAGGTCTCAATCAAACCATTATTTTTTATTTTTAGCATTGCAATCTGAATTATACGATCAGTAGATGGATAAAGCCCCGTAGCTTCAATGTCAATGAAAATAACATTTTCTAGAAAATATTCACTCGATTTTAAATTTGTTAAAACAGCCATATAATTTGATAGAGAACACTTACCACGTAGTTTAAATAATCAGGTAAATTAATGTTTATATAAAACGTATATTAAATATGCTTTTTTTTTAGTTACTTTTAACCTAGCATATTAACACATTAACAATGTTTACTGGCTTTTAAAAACTTTTTAACACATTTACCGTGTTGACGCAATTAATATATTTTCTGATTAATTGTAAAACGTTTACTGGTAATCGTTGTTTACTCAAGCGTACAACATTAAACGTGCTTTTATTGCGTACTAAAATAAACGTGAATGTTTATAAACAATTAAGTTAGCAGTCTTTTTTTGTTTTTGTTTTATATATACTTATTATGTTTATTTGACTGAAAATTTACAATACCAAAGACATAAAAATTTAATAATCAGTGATACGTAATGAATAAAAATAGTAAATAATCAATGATACGTAAATTATGTAAGGTAAAATGGGGTTTTTGTGGGATTATTATATAGGGTAAAGTGGGGTTAATATAAATTGACTCATCTTTAGAAAAAATATTTTTTTTGTTGTGACAAACTAAATTTGGTTTGCAATATTTCTATGTGTTTACCAATGATAATGCTACCATAAACTGATGAAAAATTTAATTAGTTATCTAATATTATTGATAGATAATTGATTTTGTTTTTGGGGTTCAACTGTCAATGTTACCCCGGTATGGGATAAATTTGACAGTAGTATGTTTTATGCAGTAAATGTTAAAGTTACACCATGAGGGGTAACACTATCATTGGAATATTGGCAAACGAAATAGAGAAAATATTTTTGATACATACATGCACATGCATGTGCATGTATGTATCAAAAATATTTTCTCTATTTCGTTTACCGTAAAAAACTGGCCTCTTAATACTTAAATTAAATTGTAATTTAAGTAGGCCATGGCCTACTTAAATTACAATTTAATTTAAGTATTAAGAGGCCAGTTTTTTACGGTTTATGTATAAAAGCTTGAGTTTTTGTTATGGTTAAGAGTCGTGTTTGCTTTATAAATGTTTTATTCTTATTTTATAAAAATGGTTGAATAATAGTTATATTTTCTTTGAGTGCTTACTAGTTTTTTGCTGGATTTTTTTGCTAACTGCCTTCAGTTTATTGCCTGCTTTAGTTTATTCCAATAACACATTATAATAAAATAGGTTTTCAGATATACATGTTTGTACTGTACCTCGAAAACCATGAAAATTAGTTAATTTTGGCTATAGTCATGGAAAACCTGGAAAAGTCAGAG